TTTTTTGACTTTGTAGGGAAGCAGTTTGAAGGGGTGAAGCAGTTTGAAGGGGTGAAGTTGTTAGGTAGAATAGATTTGTATAGCGACGATGATCTATGATAAAAAGTTAATTTTTTATGTTTTGATTTTCATGATAAACATGAGTTCCTCTTTTACTAAATGTCAGCTTTACATATCAGTAGGGGATCTACCTAAATTGCACTGGAAGTGCACTGTGTAGTGGCTCGTTTAATCTTGCTCTTTTTGCCACACTCCTGTCTGTCCCTGCTGCTGATTGGTAGAAGGCTCTGTGGCGGGTGCAGCGATCCCACCTCAGGAAAACAGCTGGGTATTCGTATCCCACTGCTATTTCCACCTTGTGAGGCGGGCCAGTAGGGGGTGCTCCTGCGTTGAGCCACCCACCTCCCTGCGCCCGACCACCTTCCAGGCTCCGAATGCCTCCCTGGGGCGCCTTATGACCGGCTGACCCCTCTCCTGGAGCACACTCGCTAGTCTGGGGGTAACGTTCCGCCACCACCCTGAGAGTGGACTGTCTCGGCCCTGTATCCTCGGGGAAACACAGGCCTAATAGTCCTATGGGTACTTGACCCAATACAGGCACTTGGGGTACTTCCCCAAGTCCAGGGGCAAAAAGGAAAGTCTCCCTTAGTCCGCAGACCTAAGGGGTCTCTTAGGCATAATTTAGACCCACCCCTCAATAAGTCTCCCACACCAGTCAAAAAGGAGAACTTTATTGATTACAGGGGGTAGGGTAAACTAGGGTACAGGATAGAGCAATATCTAGAAATCCTAAAGAGCAAACAGTCTGGCTGTGGTAGCCTTTTGATTACGCATCTGTGATACTTCCAGCTAAATATCTAATCAGATTGAGTAGCTTACTCACAAGCATCTTCCAAAGGCAGGTGAAGTTTCCCTTTGGAGGCAGGCGGTTCCTAGCTCGTGAGTTTGGGGGGAGAGAGCCAGTTTCAGATGTTAAGGCTTCTCTGTCCCCTGCCTGGCTGCTGCGTCACCTCATGGCCGGAGAGGAGAGACCGCCTCCTTCCCCGTCCTAACTTATATAGCCCCTGTGACCTCATTCACCTGGGCCAGTGGAGGTCAGCCCCCAGTTGGCTGTCAGCCAACCAATCTGAAATGCATCACCTGTTACTGGGCAGATTCCAGCTCCCCAGGTAGAAACCCCTTACCCAGGTAAGTGATGCAAGTCACGTAAGCAGAGGGAGCAGGTTTCCCCCTCCTTCAGAAATGCAGCCAGCTCAAGTTCCCTAAAGAGACAGGCTGAGGGTGTGGTCCTCTGTGTGCTGGGCGCATCCTAATTGAATGGTCACAGCACAGAGATTTAAATCACAGTGTCACAGGGCAGAGATTTTTGCGGAGAAACCAAGGTGGCTTTCTGTCACAGGCTCAAGTGGTCCTGCTGCTTACTGCTTGCCCCTGATTCACTGGGAGGCAAAAATCGTGGTTTTAAATATGCTGCAGTTTTTTGCCTCCCAGCTGATCAGCAATGAGCAGAGCAGCCACTGGGGCCCCTTGGCCAATCAGTGGCAGGGGGAGCACGCAGTGAGAAGAGCAAGATTAAATAAGCCTCTGTGCAGCACAATTCTGGCATGATTTAGGTAGATCTCTACATATCAGCTCTTAGAACAAAGCTCTCTATTAAAATGGTGCTTTTCCTGATACTCAGTTAGCCCTCTGGTCATGCTGATATTGATGAAGATCACAGTCATTTCCCTTTTTTGATTAGAGTGAGTCCCAGTGTTCAGGAAATGGATGAGGATGATATGGCATTACTTCATTACTCTAATGCTGATACTTATTAAGGTCTTTCATCTTTCTCTTAAAGCTCTTTTGCTTCTGCTATTTCTAATGTAATATCTGAGTGTGCACGTGCAAATCCTAGCTCTCAGGGCAAAACTTTTAGAAGGGGAACATGCAGAATGCAACTACTACATATAGAACCTCACAAAATTGCTAAGGGCAGAACTCAAGCTCTCAGTGACTAGATTCAAGAACCACAAAAGATCACCATAAGCCACCACCTTATTCCAGTACTGGACTTTTTACAATTGTTTTGGTTTGTAGCACAGCTCTAGGGCCGTTGCATATATTCACGTCTTTCTCTGGCTTATTGACTTGGTTTGAACCAAATTTTACTCTGGATAACTTTTAATATTGTTTCCTCAAATTAGCATGGTGCTGGCCCCTAGCTCAGATGAAGTGGATGAGATCATTTTGAGGAAGCTCTGAGCCATAACTGAATCCCAGATATTATATAGATATTATATACACTGTAACATATTGAAGTCCCATGATGTAGTTGTGGGGGCTGTACCTTGGTAATCCTTGCTTAACTGACCACAGATTTAGACCTCTTACCTGGGTTCAGATCCTCATAATTTACATTGATTTAAAAAAAAAACAAAAACAAATAAGCAAGTTGCTTTTAGAAAAATCTGTTAAAGAGTATAGTAATTTCAGTCTTTACTATAGTTGTGCTTTTCTCTGATTATAATGAAATTTACGGCCCAACCAGTGAAACAGCAGGTAATGAGACAAACTATAGGCTTGTAAATCTATGGAAATAGCAACATATTTGTTACCTAACTCTACCAGGCAAACATGTGACAATTGCAAAGTAGTTATTGGATCTCTGCAGACTTCTTTTGCATGACATTTGACAGGGGAGAAATGAGAAGCAAAATCAAAGTGTATCCTTGATTCTTTTAGAAGAGTTTGAAGACAGGAGAAAATAGTAAAACAATAAAGATGTGTTGTTCTATTTGTAGGTAGTTTCCATTGCTATTAATGAGAATTATGTGGGCCTTTTGAAAGGAAAATAGATCCATTAAAGAAGAAATCAGAATTGGAGAAGGTTATTTGTATATTTCACTCAGGGGAAGGAAAAACAAAAATATGCTGGAAGAAATATAGAAATCACTTATGATGTTCCATTTCAGTTTTTACATGGCATTTCAAAGTCTGTCGCACATTCTTCATGTGAATTTAAAATAATCCAGATTTTCTGATACCAAGCAGAGTCAAAATGACTTTACAGAAAAAAACTGAAAATCCCTGCTTTCATAAAAAATTTAAGATGATTTCCTTTGTATTGTATACTTGCCATTTGTTTTATTGTTACCAATTTGATAGCAACCCTTGACAATCATCCAGATGCTAGCTTATTGACTTATCTAAATTCTCATTTTATTTTGGATTTCATTCTGTTTTATTCTGAGGATTGAATGACCTTGACTTAAGCTTCTCCTTCATCTGCTTTTATAAATCTCTCTAGGTGTAGATGCAATTATGCCTTATGTTCATACCACGTGTGTTAAATCCTGGTATCTTTGATTCTTTTTCCCTTAAGTGCCAGAGTGAATCGCACTGTAAGATGGAGCTGTACGTTTCCTGTGTCTCTGGAAGAGAGATTGAAGCCCATGAGTGTCTTTACTTACTGCTCTTTCTGAACCTCAGATTAACTTTTTCAAAACTCTTTGGTGAACAAATCCTCTGTGCTTTCCATATTCCCTAGCTTTTACTTTGCATGTTAAGAGATCCTCATCCTTCTGTACATGCTGGGACAGTGGGTAGAGGCATCCTGTCATTATGGCAGATTCTAAAACCTGGGCCAACAGACATAGTCTGTGCCTATTTTGGTTGATAAAGAGTTCTTTACAAGTGTGTAATGTGCAAATTCTTTTCTTTGTGGACTTGTAAGAAAAGAAATGCTCAGCTGAAATGATACCTTCTTGAGCTATTCATGCATGTTTTCCAGGAAAGATTAAGATTTCTAAGAAACAAAAAGAGCCATCCAAGCAAGATTTCCACTAAACAGCACAGTAGGAAAGAAAATGCCATTATAATTGGTATCAACTAGTACCTGCTACTGAAGAGTAGAAGAGAAGAAGCTTCCATTTGCAGTACTTCCTTATTCTAAAGAAGAAGCTAGTAAACTATTTTAAACCATAAAAACAAATTTTAATGGATGAGATGGTGCTTCATCTGTTAAGCAGCCATAAAATATGACAGTTGAATAGGTAGAGGCTGTGCTGGAATTGTTTAAAGTCAACTGTGTTGGCCTGAGTCTCAATTAGTATATAGTGTAGAGTTAGTAACGTAACCCTGATGTACTGTCTTGCCTAGGTTTTGAGCCTATTTTAGTTAAATTTCATGATGCTTTTTAGTTGCCTTTATTCAACTTCATTGGATCCAGTTTTATAGACAACCAGCCCTGTTGAGTTATTTGAATTTCATGTTTATTGAACTTATAAGAATATTTACACTTTCCAGGTTTTCTGTATTAAAAAAATAATTTTTTTCCTTCTCTTATGGCATAACTAGGCAGTAATTGATAGAAAGTGGATGTGTCTATCACTCTATTGTTTAACTTTACAGATGCTTTAGGAGGCTGTTTACATGAATGCTAGGGGTATGCAAAGTGGGCTCTATTCGATTTGGATTCAGATATGGCCCAAATCAGGGACAGTGATTCAATTCGTTAATTTGGATCACTGTCCCTGATTTGATTTGGCCAAATCTGAAGATTCAGTTCTGATTCAGAGAATCAGTGATTTATACGTAGACACAGCTTTAAACATATTTTCTACATACCTTGAGGTAGCAGGCGCGGCTCGTGATCACTGCAATACTGGGGCTCATAGAGCGTCCCACAGGAGTGCAGGGGGGCCCTCCACGTGCTTGGCAGCGAACCTGGAAATGGACCGGAAGTACTTCTAGGTTCTAGGTTTTATTACAAGCTGGATTCTGAACACAGAATACTAGAATTGTCACTTTCTTCTAACACTGATTTCTTTCCATCTCTCATTTTACTTTCAGCAAAAAAGTTAAATGCTCAAAGGACAGAGGATAGAAATCTGCACCAGGTAGTTTTTGAAGGAATAATCATTTTTATGTCATGATGAATAGTCATGTAGCCTGTTAGGTATTGTATGATACAATGTAACAGAAAAACAGTTTTCTGAAACTTGTGCGTGCTTTCAAAAATGCTTGTTTTCAAAAACTCTGAGACATTTCAGGCAGAATCCTATTTCTTTATGGTAACTTTCTTCCATGTAAGTGGCAGCTTTGCTTACAGTAGGGATGTGTAAACATGTGCTTGCTGAGAATGTGCACTAGGTTATACACTGACTGGATAATATGTATGTCTACATGCCTATTTTGGATGCATTAGATGTGGGTAAGTCATGAAGATGTAACCAGGCGGAGATTTATAACTAACAGATGTTAGATAACAGCAGAGTGCCTTGCCATGTTGTAGCTTCAGTAGCTGAATGTTCAGGACAGGGCTGTCCAGCTTAGCGGCCAGGGTCCACACACCACGTAAGCCACATCAGTGGGGGCTACACCAGCGGGGCCATGCTCCTTCTTACCCCCAGTTGCAAGCTTTCCTGGCACCACATAGGCAAGCACCTCCCCCCATCACTACACCACAGGACTGAGGCGTGTTGCCCTTCCCTGTCCTGCCCCTTGAGGTGGGGGCAAAAGTGAAAGCTGAAGAAGGGAGGAGAAACCAGTAGACCCTGGTTGTAGCAGGAGCCAAAGCAATGAGGGGAGCAGTGGCCAGGGGAAGCACAGGGGCTGAAGAATAACATACCATCAAACTTCCATTTAGATGCACAAAGGGAAATAGAATACTGCCAAGCATGACTAGAAATATCTGAAGCACATATAGTATGGAAAGAATATACATATTATTTTTGCCATGATTTTACGTCTTTGGTTCATGTTCCTGGTCAGGACAACCATATTCATAGAAATATTGTAACAAAATAGTCTTCAGTATGTCTATTCTTAACTTAAACTATGAAACAGTATTTGTAAAATGAATGGTGATAAACAGTCACGAAAGGGTACTGTTGCCACAAACATTGAAAATTTTATTATGAAAATGCATACTGATGGTGTACTTGATGCTTTCAGTGATTTGTTTAGGGAGAGCTTGTTAGTCTGAAGTTAGGCAATGATTTATCTGGTTTTTGTTGCATTTCTGAGTAAGCAATATCTCCAAATATGAAGCAACTAATAAGACTGTTCTAGTTGATGTCTATGATTTGTTTTGATTTGTTGTGAGATTGACTTTCTGCTGAGAAACTGTAATTGATTTCATCCATTTTTCAAGTTATACAGAAACTTGTAACAGTGGCACATAGCTGAGGTGGCCATATAGCTTGCTCTTTTAAGAAAGAGGGGAGAGTGTGCACTTTAAACCCAGGCGATTTAATAAAAATTACATAATTTAATGACTTAATCAATTTGTTATTTTTTTTAATGAATTTCTCTTGCCTGTTGTGCAAAAGATCCTCATAAACAGAGGAAGCTGATTAAGTAGTTGTACAGTAGAAATAGCAGTAGAATGAAATATAACAAAGCAGTCTATTATAAATTATATTAATCATATATTTTGCTTTTGTAGTTGGGAGTAAATTCAAATGTTCCTGTTCAGCATTCACATGTTAATTATGGTGAAACAGCAAAGAAATGCTATGTAAAACCAAGTAGTAGACAGAATTCGGTATCCAATGCAAAAGTTTCTAGGTTGCTGAATGAGAAAAACTTTAAAGATGCAAGACTCGTTCCAACAAAGAAACCAGTAACTGGTTCAACATGGACTCCATATATTGCAAAGAATAAAAATAGCCAGAAATTCAGTGATCACAAGACAAATATGTCTTTTCTAGATGCATCTAAAGGAAAACCTAGTACAAACCACAAAACCCATGATTCTAAGTCTGAGTGTAACACTAGGTTCACAGTTGCTAATCTTTCTTCCAAAAGAATAACTGCATCCACTTTACATCAGAGTAGCAGTCCAGAGAACGTTCGTGAAGTTTCAGAAAAATCCAGCATGCACCAACAGGCAGAAGTGCAACAACATCCTGACATTAGTGATAGTATCAATGCTCACCCCCTTTCAGAAGAAAAGGAAACGGCTTATAAAAACAGCACATCTTCAGTAACAATAAAGGAACAAAGAATGAGTTTACAGTACACTGCATTGTCAGTCACTGTAGAAGAAGTATCTGCAGAGCAGTCTGAGACTGAATTAACAGAACTTGATTCTCACTCAGTATTTTCTATGTGCAAAGAAGATGGTATGCCTCTTGTGAAAGCAAAGGAATGTTTCATGAATCATGATAATGAAGACCATTGTCTTAAGCATACTAAAGAGGACAGCATGATTGAAAAGAGCATGATTGAAAAAAGTCTGGATACAGCCAAAAGTATACTCTCAGAACAAATTATTTATTCTAACAACTGTAGCCAACAAATTGAATTTGATACTGATAGAGAAAGAAATAATGAGGAGGAACAAAGTTTATATCCCTCCTTGCCCTTATCTGAACATAGTTCTTTAGACAGGAACCAGTTACAATCCGGAAACCTAACTCCTTTTTCTGCACAGAAAGCTGTAAACCTTCCTGAATCAGACTGTGCTTTCCTTTCTGAGCAGTATAGTGTGAATGAGAAACAAAAGATTTATAAACATCTTTCCCAAGATATAAATAACTGTATTGGGCAAACACTTCAAAGAAATACAGAAACACTTTCAGTACATGAAAGTTTAGAGCCCACTAATGGAGGTAGTGTTTTTGAAATGCCTGACAATTATAGCAACGGTATGCCAAGTCATTTTGCTCATCAAATAGATGAGGAGATGGGGATGGTGTTAGGCTCAAAAATTAATGCAGAAAGATGTTACAGGGAAAAAACGGGAGTTGTAAATAATTCAGAGAGTAACCCATCTATAGCTTTACAGCTAAATGAGAAAGTAGTAATGCAACTGAAAAGAAAAAGACAGGATCTTCAGGAGATCAATCAAGATACAGATTTGTGTTCCACTAGCAGTATGGACAAGAATTCACTTCATCCATGTGAGCTAACTCAAGAAACACAGCAGGACATTTCCCAGAAATCAGGTACATTTTTTTTTTTATTTAAAAAAGAATTCCTTTGGGAATTCACCATAGGCTTTTACAGTTTATTATAGATCTCTGAGGCTGTAAACAGTAAGGGTGTGCGAAGCGGGCCCTATTTGGATTTGGCCTGAATCAGGGACAGTGATTCGATTCATTGATTCAGGTCACTGTCCCTGATTCAGTTCTGCCAAATCCAAATCTGAATATTCGATGCTGATTCAGAGAATCAGTGATTCGGGCATAGACACAGCTTTAAAAGTTTTTTCTACATACCTTTAGGTACCTGCACGACTTGTGAATGCTTTGATCTGGGGCGGATGAAGCGTCCCACAGGAGTGTAGTGGGGCCCTCCACATGCTTGGTGGCAAACCTGGAAGTGGACCGGAAGTACTTCTGGTCCACTTTTGGGTATGCCAGGGAGTGCATGGGGGGCTCCCCTGTACCCAGGCCCAGCGATTGGCTGTGGGGGGACCCCGGGTGCCCTCCCCAGACCCAGAAGGCACCAGTCACTGAGCCGGGGGGGAGGGGTGGGCATGGGGGCACCCCTGCGTGCTCCCCGGTGGACCCAGAAGTGGACCGGAGGTGTTTCTGGTCCACTCCCATGTCTGCTGCTGAGCACACTGGGGAGCCTCCTGTGCTTCTGTAGGACACTCCATGTGCCCCAGTGTTGCAGCATTCATGAGCCTCTGCTACCTAGAGGAACGCAGAAAAAAATTTAAAGCTGTCTCTGTCTGAATCTTCCCGAATCTCTCTGAATCAGTTTGGAGGGTTCTGATTCTATTCAGAGAGATTAAAGGGTCCTTTGATTCAATTCAGATTTGGAGATTTGGCCACCAAGTTGGGCCAAATCTCTGCCGGATCAAATCAGGGTCCAAAGCTTTGCATAGGCCTACTAAACAGGCATCACGTTTAACCCAGGATAAATTCTTTTGTCTTGTGATCCCTCAGATATACCGGTCCACTGTTCCACTTCAAGTTGTTGTGAAGTATGGAGGAGGAAATGTGTTAACATTTTTTTTCTGGGACATAGCTGTGTGCATCTGTACCATTATTGCACTTTTTCCTCAGACAAGCCAACCATGCTATATGCCCCTCTCTGGTGGAGAAGCAGGAATGCAGCTTGGAAGAGTGGCCTGCATAAATGACTGCTGTGCCTGTTTTGGTCCAGGTTAAACCCTGGGACAATCATGCCCATGTCAAATGAGACTGGTTATTTCCAGCCTTAGAGCAGCAGAGTATGTGCAATATGATAATAACATATACAGATGCCAGGTGCTTGAAATGCATTTCAGACATGTTACCAAGGATGCCAAACTAATGGCTCATGAGAGGCAAGGATTTTTGGGGGAGACATCTTTTATTGCAGCAACAGGCAAACTTTCTGGCACAAGGTATCCTCTCTTAGCAGCAGTGTAGGGTTGCAGCTGAGTGCCTGGGACAAAATGGAAGTGGCAACTTTTGGTTGCCCCTGCAATTATGAACATGTGGCTGCAGGTAGCAGCCATTTTTTTGGACCTTCCTCCATCCAAGGCTAGGGACAGACATTACACATAATCCAATTTAAGTGATCAAAAACTGTTTTAAACCTGTAACAGAACATAAGATTAGCACACATAAACCAGTTTCAGAATAGCTAAAATTGGTTTAAGACAAACCTGGTTGAGTGTAGTATTGGATAGGCCTGTGCAAAATGGCTAATATTCGCTTCAGATTTGGCTGATTTGGGGGACAGTAATTCAATTCAGTGATTAAAATCACTGTCCCGAATCGATTCAGCTGAATCTGATTCTGAGATTTGGCTGTTGCCGAATCTCTGAATCACCCAGGCCCACTCTCCCACCCCCAGCACTAGCTGCCTTGCCTGCCCCAGTTCCCAGCACTTTGAAAAAAAAAAAAAAAAAAAAAAAGCCCTGGATCACTTGGTGCTGCTGGGCAGGGGGGTGATCCCCACTGCCCCCTGCTGTGTGGGGGCGCTCTGCATGAGCCCCCTGACCCTCACCTGCTTCCTCAGCCCCTCCATGGCTGCCCTACCCACCCAAGCTCTGGCCCTTTAAGAAAAAAAAAGAAAAACTGAGAAAACCCCCCTGCACTCACCGTTCCTGCTGGGTGGGGCACAATTCCCGATGCCCCCCCACTGCCCTGCACTGCATGGCAGGTTCTTCCAAAACTCTGAGGCCACTGCAGGAGTGGTGAGCCCTGGGGTTTTTCTCAGGCTTTTTTTCTTAAAAGGCCAGAGGTGGGGCAGCCATGGGGGGGGAGGGCTGGGAGAGTGAGGGGGGCCGGGACCTCATGCAGAGCCCCCCATGAACTGTGGGACAGTGGGGGGGAAGGGAGGGCAGCCAGGCTTGC